GGGAAAGAGAAAAGCCCAACTTCCTAAGTTTACAGATACACCTTTAGTACCTCTGCTGCTGCTCAGAGATTTGCCAGGCTTTAGCAGAAGCAACACCAACAAGTTCTATCAATTTTCATTCCTTGTACTCAGAATTCCATCTGCAGCAGTACAACTGGGAAGAATCATGCCAAAGTCAATGTGTTGCGACTGTCCAGAGTAGTCAAAAGCAGCTTGAGAGACAAACCTGGATCTGTTTCAAAAGGCAAGGGGGAAAAAAAAAGGTTAGTTTAGCAGGCACATATTCCTGGACACCAGCTTTTTCGGGAAGGGAGTATAAAAATTACTTCTGCTCTTCAGAAATTACTCCATACCTACTTCTGTTTAAAAAGCAACTGACAATATAGGTGTTTTCATTACACACAAACATTTTTCTGAAGGTCTAAACGGTAATGTATTTTTTCTGCTCTATATTAGCCAATAGCTTCTCAGAATAATAGCATTTGCTGCCTTTTCTTGCAGCACTTAGAAGGCTGTCCATTCTTGTTATATCTGCTCACAACTTTATTCACAGTAGAGTACTGTGTATGTAACAGTCTTCCTTACATTTTCCCCCCCTTTTTTTCTTAAGGAAACACGTGCAAGTAACCTCACGACCTCATTGCCTCTCTCCCCTCAGCCTGTCTCTTCCTTATAGTTTATTGCCCCTCACTCACTCCATTGTATCTAGAAATAGAAGTTGCCCCAGCTGAGAGACCTGCTTATCTATCTATAAAATACTTAACACACTTGGGGATGTACATAAACTGCTATTCCACATCTATTTTATCCACACTTGTATATTTATAGTTAAAAGAATTAGTTATCTCCGAGAGGATTTCATGTCAAGTACAACAGGCATCTTCTTCTACCTGTTATCTCTTCTTCAACTCCCTCCTCAATGAAGATTTTTCAGCTATTCTGGTGTGTTATGTTCCTATTATTATCAGGATAAGTACTGCTGGGAACCAACTCAAAGTATGTAATTATGTGCAAAACTCATACCAGTAACTAGGTAAGAAAATTAAAGCAATTTTAGAAAAATAACACATTTCTTGAAGCATGTATTCAGAAAAGACAGACATGCTACAACTAACAGCATATATTCAGTAAAATCTAAAAGCCAGCTTCAAATAGTGCTCAGAATAGCAACAGAAGCATCTCTCGCATGGATTGCCAGTGGTCAAATATAGATTGATTTTTAACCCCTAGTCTTCAGTGAACTTCAGGGGGAAAAAAAATGACATAAAGTCTCTATTAACAGTTCTTTCCCCAATTCTGTCAACAAGTTTAATTTGTGACTCATAGATAAAGCCAGAAGACTTCCATAGCAGTGCCCCAGTCTGCCTTCACTTTTAATAAAGCACCCTCTCCAACGATGCATTTTGATCCGAGTGGTACAGATGGTCCAGTGCTTTATGTGCCTCTGCAGGCCATCCTCCAATATTAAAGATGCTTAATCTGTAGTGGCTCTCATGAGAATTAGGTGTGCCTCATTTTCTCCCAGATTACACATACGAACTTGACAAGTCTGGTCACTCCTGTTTTATATTTAGGAAAGTGCCATGAGAAATTTATGAAGTGTTCTTCAGCTGGAGCATCTAGCTGAGCTTTATGAAGTCTATGAAACCTCCTAGCAGGCTTCTTTAGAGAAAGTCTGGTCCTCTTATTTTCTATGGTTTACGGTCGACTTTAACAAGTCCCTGACTCCCTTCATAGCCTGAATTAGATACAGCTGCCTCTTTTTGTTCTTAACTCCTGCTAGTATGGGGAATGAGAAAAAAGCCAAACTTAATTCTCCTGTGTGGCAACACAGAACATTACACTATCTCTTCAACATTTATAATGTGACTTAAAGCCAGACTGCAGTACATTTATTCTATTTATAAAAGAACGGAGCCAAGTTCTGTTCCCAAGTAGCATTTACACCTAGGAAAGACTTCTTTATAATACTGCCCTCAGTAATTAATGTCAGTTCTACTGCAGCACAGGCAGGATGCACAGGGATGACCGGTGTCAGTTCTACCCCCAGATGGTATTTTTAACATGCTATTGATTAGTATTGCTCAGCACAGATGTAACAGGCACTGCGTGCAAAACTAGTCACTGACAGTGGCTTGCACACACCGGCAGCCCCAACCTTGCTAATGCAAGTCCTGGCACAACTGCACAACCCCAGTGCAACTTCACTGAATTCAAATAATTAAGTTATTCCAATATAATCAAGAGTAGTATCTGACTCTTCCTTTAACAGAAAAGGTACAAACACGTATCAAATTAGTTCTTGTATCAAATACGTAAGTTAATCTTGCTTGGAGCCGACTTCTAGAAAGCCGTTTCTAGTTAGTTTACATTAACAGATTTTTCCAAAAAAAATAAGCATACTGCAAAACACTAAATACAGAATTGATATAGCAAGTTCAACTGGCCCAGCAGCCACCACAGAACACGGTAACAGCATGTAAGCCACACAGCGGAACTGCACAAGAAGGGAAAACTGGTTAGCAAGAAGCAACACACACCTGCTCTAAATATGGCTGGAGCCAATACCAGGTGTATTATTTAAGCAGACTTAGGTGTGCCCTTTGTCCAATGTTTAAATTCATTGAAATACATGGTGCCGGAGCCATTCCCTAGCAACCAACCCAATTAAAACCACTTTGCCAGTTAAATGGATTCATCCGTGCTGCTGTTCTTTTAACTCTTGAGTCACTCCTATACCTCCAGGTTTGGTTATGATAACTCCTTTTCCACTAAAGCTATCAACCATCATTTGAAACCATTATATTTTGTTTGTAAGATAAACGCGTTTTTATATGGGGATTGGGAAGAATCTTGATTGCAATCAAACAAGGTTCTCAGGGGAAGGCTGGTATCAACATTACTGCTGTGACCTAACAACATGCTGTGTTTTCTTATAGTTTTATACTTTTTGATTTTTTTCCCCAGAGAGTCAAAAATTTAAAAGAAAGTATAAAATCAACCCCCTAGGGCGAAATGTGACTCTCGAAGATGACAGTTGTGCTGATTCAACTACACAAACTATGGCCAAAGTATTTTTATTAGCAAGTATCTACTATTTCTTCAGAAGTCAGGAACAGAGCTTCCAGACTTATTAGAGCACTGAATTACTATTCAGATGTGTTCCTCTAACTCGCTTTCCTTGTACTGGTGAACTCTATACCAAAGTTAAATATTTATCACAGGGAAGCTTACTTGCATTACAGAATCTCTTCCCCATTCTGTAACTTTATTTTAAATAAAACTGAATTTTCAATTTGTTACAGTTTTCCATAGGACTTGGTATT